AGTGTTTCGGGCTCATATGAAGCCTTCCCAGACAGAAGCAAAATTTGTGAAAGTCAAAGATTTCAACATGCGAACTAGCGCCTCTGAAGGCATTGCGTTTCTCCATAACATCACCGACCGCCCACAACACCGCTGGCCACCTGCCGCATTATCGTTTTGAACTTGTGCGAACACTGCAGAGGTTAAATGATCCGTAACTCCTTCCGGAGGACAGTTCCGCAAATTCCAAGGGAAAACTTGAGTACAGCGGCTCACACGTTATCCATATAGAAGAGACAATAAAAAGAATTTTTCTTCCTCGACTTTCAAGGCGCTATAAGTTACTCTTTATTAAATTCTGATTGGACGTTCCCACTCAGCAACACATTGTACACTATCACGATAGTCCACCACAGCCTCCTGGACGAACGCCATCGAGAGACCGCTTGGTTCTGCCACGTGACCGTGATCTGGTGCCTGAGTTCAGCGAGGTCGTTGACTTTTTCGCCACTGTAGACCATCCTTTTGAGCTTCGCTCGAGCCCGGTAATCGAGGGGATTCAGGTCAGATGACACACTTGGATATTCCGTCTTCTTCAGGTTTTCAACGCCTTCGATTCCAAGTAGGCGAGAGTTTTCCAACGTCCTTCGATTCCATGTGCTGGCATATAGCAGTACGAAATTCCCAAGATGATACAGGCGATGACATAAAGACAAGACATTCTCCTCGAGTTGCTTGATGTAACCGTCAGCGCTGACTTTCAGTCCGGGGTCCGCGAAGAAAATATCAGTCTCCCATTCCAGAAACCTACGATATATACATCAACACCGCGGCGACACTGCGGTGAAACATGACGATCGGATCGTGCGACGTTCTCGAGCGGCTAGGCCCATGGGTGACCTCCATACAAGAAGTTTCGCAGCTGTTTAAAAGTGACGCAAATTCCATAGGCCTTTTTCAGTTCAGCTGCGATTGGAGATAACTTCATTTTTGGTGTACATGAGTTCGCCAGCGTGTCTTTTTTTCATTGGGCCCCCTGTACATATCACTGTAAATGATATGTACAGGGGCCCCAATGAAAATGTAAATGACAGAGGTTGACCTGTTGGTGCTCCCTGTGAGACTTGTTGGTCGATTGGCTTTCCTCTTTGAGTGTTTCGTCCTTGTAAAGTATTATTATAAGACATGAGCGTGCGTTGGGGGAATTCCCGACAGGAAGAGGTTGGTATTCTGGGTCTGAGAAAATTTTGATGGTTGGTGTCTCCTGTTCAAGCGCTATTCACGTCGTTGCGCGAATCCTAAGGGTGGGGGAGTCGCATTCTCCTCTGAGAGGAATTTGCTGCGTGGGTGAAAACTTTTCTACAGTTGTTGAGTTTCGTGGTTTTCCCGTTTCTCGTGTATACCCTCCCCCATCCCCCGCTCGGCAGGGAAATTCTGGGGAAATACTGGAAAATTCTTGGGAAATATTTGGAAGTTGTGCAAGAAAGTAGGAGAGATGGGGAAAACTGGGAAGTTGGGTAGGATGGGGAAGTGGAGGGTCGTACTAGAGGACGAAACTCGTGGGGGTGGGGGAGGAGGGTGTCGGTTTCCAAGAATTTTCCCCAACGGCAGGACATGCCCTGATTATGGTCGTGGTTTATTATTCTTTTTGTTCTTTTGTTTTGGGAGCACGCTTTTAACATAGTGGCTTTGTGTCGATTGGCGCTGTTCAAAATACACAAGTAAATAAGATGTACGCTCATTATTACGTCGATAGAAAACGCTTGCAACACTTCGGACAAAATTTCAGACTGCAATTTCTTTTCATTTAAAGGCAGTTGGCACGATGGTTTCCTACTTAGCCTAAAATGCTAGTAGGGCGCTGTATAGTGGGGAAATGGCGAAAGAACGGAGTGAAACGGTCAAAATCCTGCGAAGAAAAAGCCTCCGTTCTCAGTGACTTGTAAATCGATTTCGGACGAGTTTCCCGTACGCATCTTGCCAATCACCGCTACCGAAGGTACGGCTGCATATGTGTACCCATATATGCATGCAGCATCACCGCCGCTTCATACCAATCCCTTTGCTTCATAATTTGCTCAGCAAATGAATGAATACGAGCGTCAGGAACGGTCGTCCATTTGTGGGCGGGCGGGCAAGGAAGGCGTTTGGGACGTAAAGTTGTTGCTCAATAGGGCGTTATAGAGGTACCCTCCTTGGAAAAGATTTCACGCAGCGCCTGTCCGAGGGGGGGGGTGGGGTCTCCGGGAGGTCACGGAATTCCGTTAAGCCAGTTGTACAAATCCTACACCTGTATAGCGATTTATCGTGCCAACTGCCTTTAAGCCAGGCTTTTATGTGAATCCCCAAAAACGCTGGTATCTTAAATAAGCCTCAGCCATCGGGCAGTGCTCCTCTAGGAATCCCGCAGCACAGTGATGGGAGGGAGCTTTCGATTACGTTCCCGAGTTGCCATCGGTCATCATTTTTTCTCTTCAAATGATGCATCTTGGCCCTGTCTGAATGGTAACCGGCACGGCTAGGCCAGGTGAAAAAAGCTGGGTGCCGCCATTACTCAAAGTTTCTCAACGGAAAATTGTTATTGTTGGCGTGTTATCTTCTCTAGATGCGAGTCATGATTATGAGAAAAGCGGACCTTTTGAAGTGAATTTGACATGGTACATGAGTCACCTTTTGGATTCATTAAATAGACAGTCGTCGGTCGTGTCTGCCGTACCAGCAACATCTTTTTGCAGTTCCATTGATAAAACAGTGAAATCTCAAAATTGAGCTGTCCTGGAGCTGAATGGGTCTATGAATGTTGCAAATAACAAAAATAAGCCCCAAACTCTTTGTTGCTAAACCCAAAATTTCCAAAAGAATTAGAAGATCCTGGCTTCTTTCCGAATATTCCAATGCCTAGCATTTTCCTCACGACCTGAAGTAAAAATGCCTAGCATCTTCCTCACCACCTGAAGTAACTCATATGAGTACAATAATAAGGATAAGCTTGAAGTCTTCGCCGTTAATCAATCCCTTTGTGGGATGCGGCACGCATTCTACTTCCATTCAGAATCGTAGTGGCTTATTGAATGCGATGTGGCCTATACAATTGCGGTGGCCAGCCGATGTACAAGTCAGTGTTTTATCCTCCCAGACGAATCTGGTACCAATTTACCGTCCCCGGAGGGTAGAAGGCTTGGTTGGCCTGGGCGGGTGTCGACCTGGGATTCGAACCCAGGACCGCGCGAGTGGTAAGCGCGCCACTTGTCACTACACCACCTCCGCCTTGATTAGCAATATAGCAAGAATAAATAAATGAATAAATAAATAAATAAATAAATATGAATTATCGCATGAACTGGTTAAGTCGTAGAGCGACAATAGTACGTCTCAAACAGATTCGTGCGTATTGTCCTTTCCAAACCCTAAATAAACATCTGCTTGCATGGACAAAAGCACCTGAAATTCTGTTGTTTACAACATTCACAACAAAGGAACCATTTTTTCATTTCCGTTCTGCAGGCAGCTTTTTTGACTAAAAGAGTTTAAGAAAGGCACCCAGCTTCTGCTCTCAGCTACTATTTGTGCTAAAATGTCCTTCCAATGAGTATAAATAATTAGAGAGCGCCCGAGGATCATAGAGTCGGAATAACCACATTGGCGCCACTGATGTGATGCCCACAGGAAATATCTCCCAGTAGCCGGATCGTGGGAAAACTAGTATGCGTTTATGCGTACAGATCGGGCCTAATTACGACGCAGATGTGAGCTTCCTCCACTTTTGCAGAGCGGCCGTGCAGAACCTTAATATAACGAAATCAAGTTGATCAAAAAATAGTCCGCTGCAAACAGCCGCAGAGCGCCGCAATCCATAACTTCTTTCGAAGGGAGTGAATTGAAACGCACGAGTACCGTCAGATTTGCCTCTACGTGCAAACTCAACGGTATATTACCTGTTGGATTTCGGTGAGTAGGTCATCAGCTTTTCTCTAAAAACCGGCCAGAATTCCATTTTGACCTCTGAAGACAGAAACGATCCTTTGTCTTGTTTTCGGGCCCCCCAATTTATCGCTAAGGTTTTTGAATTATTTAATGCACTTCGGTCCAATTTCGGAGGAAACTTATTCATATTTTTTCTGATTTTGAAGGTGTATTTCTTGGAATCTAGTAAAGTGCAGGCGAAATCGCTGAGCGGCTGTGCTCTCGGTTTAGCACTACATAGAAACGTCGTAGTATGTTTTATGATAGGGAGCGAATATTCCACAATGTGGCCCTAAACATCAGTGCTTGCCGTAGTGTGGCGTAACAATCGCATTTCTTTCATTTTCATGTTGGCCCCTCTTCCTAACGGGTACAGTAAGCTAGAAGGTAAAATAACACTTCTGAACAACAGCTGCTGTAGTATCATATAATCGACAGCGGACTGGTTAAAGGTCAGTCCTGTATTTGCTAGGGTGCAATAAACCTTGCACTTCGCTACACGTCCCCCAATAAAAAATGGGAACTCGTTAAATTCATGGAATCCTATCGAAACCTGCACGGTTAGATTCTGCAAGAAAAATGGTATCAGCGATATAACAAACATCCCGTTTTGACAAAGTCACTATTTCCACCTCCAACCCACTATTGTTTTCAAGGGCTGGGGAATGCAATCAGCCTCTCGTTGACTACTGCTATTTACCTAGATTTGCGGCTTCAGATAGCGAATCCCACACCATAAGACCAAACTCATCGAGCTGTACATGATATTGCCTTTAATCATGAAATTTCTCAGTTCGATTACCCAATTCTATAAAAGGCAAATTCGTACTCAACCCAGCCGAATGCGCGTGAAGTGTGTGAAGTGTCATTAGATTTTGTGCAATAGTAAGCAATGCAGTATTAGCATCTGAGATTAATCAAGTATTCCGGTTTTCCATTTTCAGAGACACCATGTCTCTAAACGGGCGAACACTATAGATGAACATTCAACCTTATGCCTTCGCTATCCGAACTATCGTAGGGTTTAAGCATGTGTTTTGTTTTTTAAATGTTTTCAGCTTTTCCATCCACTTCACTGCTCCGTAAAATTCAGCATTGTTGGAGTCGTAATGTTGCTTGAAATCGCGGTGTCATCGACTGCTGTTGTATTATGTGAGAAGAAGGCCCTGTGGTCACTAAGGAAGGCAATGAGGTCGGCGTTCAATCGCTTAGACCGATTAGAGGCACAATATTTGAACACAATGAGAAGAGAAGATCATTTGCAAAATTTCAAATGGATGAACAGCAAATTCTCTGAGAATACGTAGGTATAAATTTCCTTTTAATGTTTCGGTTACTTCATGTAATAATGGGAAGTGCCTCCATAGAGACTTGCTATCCTCTGGTAATAATTATGGCAAGCGACGACGCACGCTAATTAGCTTCTTAGGTACTTTTGTTAGATTGTGTAATCAAACTGAGGATTTTCGATAGTTCGGATAGCGAAGGCATAAGGTTGTGTGTTTATCTTTAGTGTTCCCCAGTTTGCAGACTTGATGTCTTCGAAAAAATGACGAAACCCGATTAAATGACGTATCTCAGATGCTAATACTGCATTGCTTACTATTGCACAGTACGAAATTTAATGGTGCTACAAACACTTCAGCGCGCATTCGGCTGGATTGAGTACAATGAATTTGCCTGTCTAGTCAAGCTCATTATCAAAAAGATGAGCCCGTTGGGAAAACCAGAAAAAGAATATTCTCATTCATATTCCAACATAGAAACAGTACCTTCATAGTGTACTAATAGGAAGCGCCTCTATATGGACTGGGTACCCTCTGGTAATCATTAAGGCAAGCGACGTCGCACGCTAGTTAGCTCCTCAGGTACTTTTATAGGATTGGGTAATCAAACTGAGAAATTTCATGATTTGAAGGCTATATCATGTACAGTTCGATGAGCTGAGTCTAATGATGTGGGATTCGCTATCTGAAGCCGCAAATCTAGGTAAATTGCAGTGGTCAACGAGAGGCTGATTGCATTCCCCAGCCCTTGAAAACAATAGTGGGATGGAGGTGGAAATAGTGACTTTGTCAAAACGGGATGTTTGTTATATCGCTGATACCATTTTTCTTGCAGAATCTAACCGTGCAGGTTTCGATAGGATTCCATGAATTTAACGAGTTCCCATTTTTTATGGGGGACGTGTAGCGAAGTGCAAGGTTTATTGCACCCTAGCAAATACAGGACTGATCTTTAACCAGTCCGCTGTCGATTATATGATACTACAGCAGCTGTTGTTCAGAAGTGTTATTTTACCTTCTAGCTTACTGTATCCGTTAGGGAGATGGGCCAACATGAAAATGAAAGAAATGCTGTTACGCCAGACTAGGGCAAGCACTGATGTTTAGGGCCACATTGTGGAATGTTCGCTCCCTATCATGGAACATACTACGAGTTTTCTATGTAGCACTAAACCGAGAGCACAGCCGCTCAGCGATTTCGCCTGCACTTTACTAGATTCCAAGAAATACACCTTCAGAATTGGGAAAAAAATTAAGTCCCTCCGAAATTTGGGCCGAAGCGCATCGCCATGTAGAGGCAAATCCAATGGTACATCGCTTTTCAATTCATCTCCTTTGAAATTATGGCATTGCGGCGGATTAATCCGCCTTTCTACAAATTAGATGCGGTGTTGTAGGGCAAAGCCATCCCTCACCCGTCTTCTAATTTCTGCATAAACATTCTTCACTTATGAGAAGCTAAAACTTTGAAAGGTGTTTAACTTCTTCCTGGAGTACTTTGTTCGAAGTGCCACACGAATTTTCGATCAATATAATAATAGGTAGAAAAATTGGTAGTCTTGTTTTCCAGTTCCTATTTTTGATGAGCTTTCTAGCCGCGCGGCTCTAGTTATTCACGAAGCATTGTTCTTGCCATCGCGTTAATCCACAACTGGATTCACTATTTG